GAGTCTCACTCAGTCTCCCAGGCTAGAGTGCAGTGGCACAATTTCAGCTTACTGCAACCTCCACCTCCCAGGTTCAAGCAATTCTCCTGCCTTAGCCTCCTGAGTGGCTGGGATTACAGGCGTGTGACCACCACACCTGGTCAATTTTTCTATTTTCAGTAGAGATGGTTTCACCATGTTGGTCAGGCTGGTCTTGAACTCCTGAGCTCAAGTAATATATGATCTGCACACCCCAGCCTCCCAAAGTGCTGGGATTACTTGGTGTGAGTTACTGCATCTGGCCATAATCCTTAAATCAGAGTGTGTTAAGGACTGCAAGAAGCTGGGATCCCACCAGCTGAAGAAAAACAGGTGCTTAGGCCAGGCACGGTGGCTCACACCTGTTATCCCAGCACTGTGGGTGGTCAAGGTGGGCAGATCACCTGAGGTCAGGAGTTCGAGACCAGCCTAACCAATATGATGAAACCCCGTCTCTGCTGAAAATACAAAAATTAGCTGGGCATGGTGGTGGGTGCCAGTAATCCCACCTACTTGGGAGGCCGAGGAAGGAGAATCCCTTGAACCCTAGAGGCAGAGGTTGCAGTGAGCCAAGATCGCACCATTGCACTCCAGCCTGGGCAACAAGAGTGAAACTCTGTCTCAAGAAAAAAAAAGAAAAGAAAAACAGGTGCTTGCCTTTTCTTAAGAACTTAAGGAAAAATTCTGTGTGGTTAGAGTGTTACTTGGGGGTGATGTCCAGCTGACACTGTACAGACAGCCTTACTTGGGCTCTTTCCTACTCACTCTGTGGCTGGCCATTGACATCAACTGTTAACCCCTGGTGTAGTGAACCTTATTTTTTCTTAACCCTTTCTTGTTTCCTTTTATATATGGACATTTGACTTATTGAACTGAATACTTTTCAATTAACTATAATTAATTATATTTTATCTACACCTTACTTTCTGAGATGTGCTTTATAAGTGTGTATATAATGACATCCTAATTAAATTAGTATGTGCCTTGTAGTTAACATTACACAAGTAATGTAAGATATTAAAGCTTTAATGTAATTGTCATTTCCCAGATGTGTACATTTTTAACACTGGCTGTGATACATAGTACATACAGAGATCTTTGTTAGCAATCAGCCTCTTTGTAAAGCACTTTTCCTTATTTGTTCAGAGTTAGCCCAGGTATCATCACAGCAGCATCACCATCAGGATCAAAAACCAGACAAGAGTTTAATATTGTAAAATTTATAAAGGGCAGGCATGGTGGCTCATGCCTGTAATCCCAGCACTTTGGGAAGCCCAGGCGGAAGGATCACTTGAACCCCAGAGTTCAAGACCAGCCTGGGCAACATAGTGAAACGCTGTCTCCACAAAAAATACAAAAAAAAAAAAAATTAGCCAGTATGATGGTGCGCACCTATAGTCCCGGATATTCAGGAGGCTGAGGTGGAAGGATCTCTTGAGCCCTGGAGGGTGAGGCTGTAGTGAGCCATGATTGCACCACTGCACTCCAGCCTGGACAACAGAGCCAGCTCCTGTCTCAAAAACAAAAAAAGGTTATAAAAGTGCTTCTCACATTGTTTACTAACTCTCAGCTTCATGTTTTTTCTATACTGCTATAGCACTGAATTCTAGACCTGGACTGGTATTTTATTCTCATGTTTATTTATATGGATCAACATGAAAATGTTCAAACATAAATGATGTTTATATTACTGCTATGTTTTTTAAATAGATTACTAAAACAATTTGTTTTGCTCTCCCCACCCACACTTACATACTCCTGAAACAGAGCGACTGGCCAGAAGGATACCAGCTGGCATCTTCTATGAACTTCCGTTTTCCCCAGTGTGTTCCTATAAACTTGAAAACTCTGATTCCCAATGCCAGTAATGAAGCTATTCAGCTCATGACTGAAATGTTGAATTGGGATCCAAAGAAACGACCAACAGCAAGCCAGGTGAGATGAGTCTTCCTGTTAGACCTTTTAAATCTTTCAGGTTTTTTAATATCAGGGATGTTTTCATTTACGAAGGCAGATCTGTTCTCAACCAGGATTTTACTAAGAGAATTAATCACAAAGCCCTTGGCATACAGTGTATGTCATAAATTAATTTATAGGCATAGAAGATCCTTGGGAGAAATGAAAAATAGCTACACCAATGATTTTCTGTGTTTTGTGGTTCAAATGAGGAACCCTGAGGTTGCAACAAGGAATCAGTTTGCAATGATAAAAATTCAGACACGTGACAGACTAGTTATGAAGGAATCTGTCATGGGTAGCAAAAAGGCATCTCATAGTAGACTCTCTCTTTTTTTTTTTTTTTTTTTTTGAGATTGAGTCTTGCTCTGTCACCAGGCTGGAGTACAGTAGTGCTCGATCTCAGCTCACTGCAACCTCTGCCTCCCGGGTTCAAGTGATTCTCCTGCCTCAGCCTCCCGAGTAACTGGGACGATAGTCATGCGCCACCATGCCCAGCTAATTTTTGCATTTTTAGTAGGGACGGTGTTTCACAATGTTGGCCAGGATGGTCTTGAACTCCTGACTGCAAGTGTTCCACCTGCTTCGTCCTCCCAAAGTACTAGGATTACAGGTGTGAGCCACTTTTTATTTTTTAGTACAATTTATTTCTCAAATCATTTTTTCTGGTTACCTTTTAAAAGGGGTACTGTATAGGGAATGACGGCTGCTTTCTAAATCTTGGAAGCACCTGTGGGCTAATGGTAGCTCCTGTGGCCCTCACAAAGGGCCAATCATAGTTTATGTGCAATACATTTAGGTGAAACCATTTTCCATTTGTTGTTGTTCTGTGTTTTTACAGGCATTGAAACACCCATATTTTCAAGTTGGTCAGGTATTAGGCCCTTCCTCAAATCATCTGGAATCAAAACAGTCTTTAAATAAGCAGCTGCAGCCATTAGAATCAAAGCCATCTTTAGCTGAAGTAGAGCCCAAGCCTCTACCAGATGTAATTGATCAGACTGTTGGACAATCCCAGCCAAAAACTAGCCAGCAGCCACTGCAGCCCATTCAGCCGCCACAGAACCTGAGCGTCCAGCAACCTCCAAAGCAACAGCATCAGCAGAAACTGCCGCAAACGCTATTCCCAAGCATCATCAAAAACATGCCAACTGTGAGTAGCCAGTCATGACACTTGAAATGGAATTGTTTGACTACTGCAATTAAGATTTTGTTTCGAGGCATTTCTAATTATGTTGGAGAAGATAAAAACAATTATTCTTTGTTAAAGACCCTGAGTCCTCTGGTTGGAGCTTGACATGAGATCACTTAAAATTCTAATATGGTCTGTAAAAAGAAAAACTTTCAGAATGAAAGCAACCAAGTTTACATGCTACAGTGTTCAGTCTTTTTTATTTTTTTTTGAGATGGAGTTTACTCTTGTTGCCTAGGCTGGAGTGCAATGGCAGGACCTCAGCTCACTGCAACCTCCTATGTTCAAGCGATTCTCCTACGTCAGCCTCCCAAGTAGCTGGGATTACAGACAGGAATCTGCCTACCATGCCTGGCTAATTTTTGTATTTTTAGTAGAGATGGGGATTCACCATGTTGCCCAGGCTGGTCTTGAACTTTTGACGGCAAGTGTTCCACCTGCATCAGCCTTCCAAAGTGCTGGGATTATAGGTGTGAGCCACCATGCCTGGCCTTTTTATTTTTTTTTGAGATGGAGTTTCATTCTATTTGCCCAGGCTGGAGTGCAATGGTGCAATCTCGGCTCACTGCAACCTCCACCTCCTGGGTGCAAGCGATTCTCTTGCCTCAGTCTCCTGAGTAGCTGGAATTACAGGCGCCCACCACCACACCCAGCTAATTTTGTATTTTTAGTTGAGACCGTGTTGGCCAGGCTGGTCTTGAACTCCTGACCTCAGATGATTCACCCATCTTGGCCTCCCAAAGTGATGGGATTACAGGCGTGAGCCACCAAGCCCAGTGTAAAGTTCTTTCAATGCTGAAAAATTCAAAGAATTTAAAAGAATCAGGTACTCCAAAGTACTGATCCTAAATCTTAAGAATTTTTAACAGTACTGTCATTTCATGGTGTTCTTAAATGCTAAAGAACATGGAGAGAATGGGTTTTTATTTTTTATTTTTATTATTATTTTTTGAGGTGGAGTTTCACTCTTGTTGCCCAGGCTGGAGTACAATGGTGTGATCTCAGCTCGTCGTAAACTCCGCCTCCTGGGTTCAAGCAATTCTCCTGCTTCAGCCTCCCAAGTAGCTGGGATTACAGGCATGCGCCACCATGCCTGGCTAATTTTATATTTTTAGTAGAGACAGTGTTTCACCATGTTGGTCAGGCTGGTCTTGAACTCCTGACTCCAGGTGATCCGCCCACCTCAGCCTCCCAGTGTGCTGGGATTACAGGCATGAGCCACCATGCCTGGCTAATTTTGTATTTTTAGTAGAGACAGTGTTTCACCATGTTGGTCAGGCTGGTCTTGAACTCCTGACTCCAGGTGATCTGCCTACCTCAGCATCCCAGTGTGCTGGGATTACAGACATGAGCCACAGTGCCCAGTGAGAATGGGTTTTTAAAGTGTCAGGTATAGTATAAAACAACTTCTTCCGTCTTTTGTTCAGCTCTGGGAGCTCATTAGTTGCTGTAGTATTCTAGCTGTCCCCTTGGGGTATACACTTCCAACTGTGTTAGAATTATGGCATTTTAGGATGGAAATCTGTCTTACACAGCACCATATCTATTTCCTTATCCAGTCCTCACCTGCCCCACCAACCTAGTATAAGCAAGGTCTCCTCCTCCCCCAATAGCACTAATCACATTCTCAGGTAGTGTTAATTACTTATTTCTTATGTTTATTGTTTGTCTCTTCCTCTGGAATGAAAGCTCAATGAAGTCAGGAATGTTTGTCTGTTTTGTTCATCAGTACAGCCTCAGAACCCCGACTAGGGCCTGCTACATGGGAGATTCCCAGTAAATGTTTGTTCAGTGAATGAAGGAATGAGTAATTGCCCACAAGACTTGTAAACCACCTCTGGGGCGCTGAGGAGTCCACTTTATCTTTGGAACAGTTCTGAATATTAGAAAGTTCTTCCTTACACTGGGCAAAATCTGGTTTTCTTGCTTTTAGTGAAAGCTAATCACTTTTCTAGAAAGGTCGCCTTTTACATATTTGAAAATAGCTGTTACATTATCTGCCCTTTTCTCTAGAGAAACATCTCCAATTCCCTCAAGGGCTCTGCATATAACAACTTTCATCAATGACTGATAACTCTCAATTCCTATTACAAATGTGCCTTTAAGTCTCCTTTCATCCCCACTCCTACTTAGAATGAGGCTGCCGCAGCTGGAGGCAAACAGCAAGCAGGAGTATAGAGCAGGACTAATCAGTCACCTCCAACATTCCAAACAATATGTGCAGTTGTGCCACCAACGATTACAGTCCTCCCCCCAGCCCCTTGGAAGGTACTTCAAATGCTGACTCATACTGTGAGGGAAGGAAAGGAAGTTAATATTGATTGAGTAGCTACTAAGTGCCATGCATATGCTAGGCACCCTTTGCGCATTCTCTTAAGTTAAAGAGAATAACCTAGCCGCCCTCCCCCGTCCCCCCACACACATATTTTTATATAGGTAAGTTTCAGAGCTGGGATTAACTAAAATTTCTAAGTATACCCATTTTTTCATAAATGCTTCTAAATCGCATATTCTGTACCTCTGACTTGTGTATTTCATCTCTAGGATTCAAAAAGTTGCAAGATCTTTTACATCTCCAATTTCTAATTATTTTTGAATCTTTATTTTTTCTTCTCAGTTTACCCACTCTGCCCAGCTTGTTGCCAGCTATGGATTTATTTAGTTGTCTGTTTTGCTCCTGAATCTTCATGATATATACATAGAATGACCGTGAGATCTTGGGCAGGGCATAGAACCTTCCTCTAGATTGACATTGATCCATTCGTCAGTACTCTTGGTCAAGTTCCTCAGCTATGTGCCGATCCCCCTTTGCTGCTTTCACCCACTGGGCTGAAGTCCACTTGCACTACATGAAATGAACTCACTGTGTGCCTTTTATGAAAAGGGTAATCTATCTGACCTATCACTGTTTTCCCTTCGTGCCCACAAGCATCCCCTTTAACAACTGATTTTAGAATCTCTGCTCTTATCCTCTACCAAACTTACTGATGTGGAATTTGCCAAAATCAATCTTCTACTTTATTAAAATTATCATTTTTGCCCCTTGTCACTCTTCTCAGACACACAAGGTTCTTGGATATCACTGACATTGCTGAGCAGTGTTCAGCATCAGTACCCTAAAATGGAATTCAACAGAAGGCAGACTCAAACTCAGCTAAGGGTAACCTTTTATTAATCCTACTTATCTGGAGCTTAACGTTTTTTTATTCTCTTGATTCTGGAGATTGTTCTGCCTGGCAGAGAAAATGGTGTAGAAGCTGACAAATACTTCTTTTTATTATCATCCATCACTCACTGTGACACCATCAGCTTCAAGCAATAGCATGGCCATTCAGCATCTCCCTGCACCCAATGTAGCTGTGTTTTCTGAAATTTTTCCATGCTCTACTCCCTAGTTTTGAGTTGCCTTTTGGATTTTTCTGTTTATGTGCCCCTAAGCCACTCTCTGTAAATTTGTATAAAACCAATTCAGGCCAGGCACGGTGGCTCACGCCCGTAATCCCAGCACTTTGGGAGGCAAAGACAGGCGGATCACCTGAGGTTGCAAGTTCGAGACCAGCCTAACATGGAGAAACCCCATCTCTACAAAAAATACAAAATTAGCTGGGCATGGTGGTGCATGCCTGTAATCCCAGCTATTGGAGAGGCTGAGGCAGGAGAATCATTTGAACCCAGGAGGCAGACGTTGTGATGAGCTAAGATCACACCATTGCCCTCCAGCCTGGGCAACAAGAGCAAAACTCTGCCAAAAAAAAAAAAAAAAAATCATTGTGTTCCCCAAGCCAAGACCTCTTTCCTGTTCCTTATTTCTGTTAATGATGCCTCCATTCTGTAACAGACTCATACGTCCCTCTGTGTTCATTAAGATTACATTCAGGGACTTACAACAAAAACTCAACCACTGTGGCTTAAACAGTAGGGGTTGTTTTTCTCACATAACAAGAAATCGGGTGGTGGGCAGCTGGAGCTCATGCAGCTTGCAGAGGAGGCAGGCTGCTGCTGGCTTCCTGATCTGCCACCCTGAGCAGGTAGTTTTCATGCCTGTGTCCACAGGATGACTGGTGTTCCTTTGAGTGTTGTACCTGCATTCTAGCAGAGAGAAGAGTAAAAGATGCTGGCACATGCCACCTTTAGTGTCCTTCTCATTGAGGCTGTCCCCACTTAAAAAGGACACTAAGGCTCTGAGAAGTCACTTGTCCAAAGAGACATAGCCAAGTCTCAGGTTTCCAGATCCTTTGTGTCATTAAAGAGTTAACTCAGATCCTAAATATTCAAGTCTCCCACCAACCCAGTTCACAGAGATCTCTCCTCTGAGCACCTATCATATTTTTGGCATATACCACCCAATTTTTTTCATGCTTGTAAATGTGTATATGCATTATGCCCTAAAGTGTATGGAACGCTCCTTGAGAATGGGAACTCTTAGTGTCTTATAGAGCAGATTGTGCGTGAAAGGCATTCAGTACATGATTAAAGATTATGACAACTGATTTTCCACCACAGAAGCCAAATGGCACACTGAATCATAAAAGTGGTAGGAGGCGTTGGGGCCAGACTATCTTCAAATCTGGAGAAAGCTGGGAAGAGTTGGAGGACTATGATTTCGGAGCCTCCCATTCCAAGAAGCCAAGCATGGGTGTTTTTAAAGAAAAAAGGAAGAAAGATTCTCCATTTCGGTAAGATTTCAGATTCCTCAGAAAAATGTTTTTGCCATGCATCAACTTTATTTTACTCATTAAATATAAATGCACGTGGGCCTTAAATGAAAAAAAGTTTTGCTTGATAGGCCAGGTGCAGTGGCTCAGGCCTGTATTCCCAGCACCTTGGGAGGTTGAGGCAAGTGGATCACTGGAAGCCAGGAGTTCGAAACCAGACTGGCCAACATGGCAAAACCCTGTCTCTACTAAAAATTCAAAAATTAGATGGGCGTGGTGGTGCACGCCTGTAATCCCAGCTACTCGGGAAGCTGAGCCATGAGAATTGCTTGAACCTTGGCGGTGGTTGTTGCAGTGAGCCAAGATTGCACCACTGCACTCCTGCCTGGGCAACAAAGTGAGACTCCATCTTAAAAAAAAAAAAGAAAAAAGTTTGCTTAATATTGGTTTCTTCCACAAAATACTAATCTTTCCGCATACCTCTGAAAAGGTAAGAATCTTCTCACGGTAACAATTCTCAATATTAACAGATGAGTGGGGCGTGTATGTGTGTAGAGAGAGTATGTCAGTTCGTTTTTGCATTGCTGTAAAGAATGTGTTGGTGTGTGTGTGTGTGTGTGTGTGTGTGTAGAGAGAATGTCAGTTCGTTTTTGCATTGCTGTAAAGAATGTGTTGGTGCACAGTTCTCCAGGCTGTACAGGAAGCCTAGTGCCAGCATCTGCCTCTGGTGAAGGCTTCTGGAAACCTAGAATCATGCTGGAATTACAGGCATGAGCCACCATGCCTGGTTGTCTTCTTAAAAGTGAACAAAAGCAAGATATTTATACTTACATTTATACTTGTATTTATATTCAGTAGGTTTACTAAATACCTAGTTGGTATTAAGCCTCTCCTCAACTCATCAAATATATACCAACAGAATAAGATCTCCAGAGGATTATGCCACATGACATGTGTGTGTATTTAGTGCCACCAGTGACGGAGCTGCAAGAAGCTCTGGGTGTTTTGTCTCTGGGCAGAGATCCCTCTGATGAGGAGAGAGAAGTCTTCTTAGAGTGAGCAGTTTTGAAAATGGGTAGAATTTCTTTCTTTTCTTTTCTTTTTTTGAGACGGAGTTTCACTCTTGTTGCCCACGCTGGAGTACAATGGCATAATCTCAGCTCACCGCAACCTCCGCCTCCCAGGTTCAAGTGATTCTCCAGCCTCAGCCTCCCGAGTAGCTGGGATTACTGGCGTGCACCACCACACCCAGCTAATTTTGTATTTTTAGTAGAGACGGGGTTTCTCCATGTTGGTCAGGCTGGTCTCGAACTCCCAACCTCAGGTGATCTGCCCTCCTCGGCCTCCCAAAGTGCTAGAATTACAGGTGTGAGCCACCGTGCCTGGCGAGAATGGGTAGAATTTCAGTGAGTGATGTAACAGCAGTGGGCTCGGGAAGGGAAAGATGCCAGAAATGGTGGGACAATTCCCCGAAGCAGATGTACCTGTGCCTGGAACTGCCCCCAAACAGGTGGCCAGCAGTTTGAAGGGCCACCCAAGGGAGTGTCCATTTCGAAGGGGATCGACTTGGTGTGTAGGGTATGGTAGCACGAATTTCTGAGTGGAAACCACGAATGCTTGAAGTTAACAAGTGATGGAAGTTGGGCAGTATATTCAGGCCCCAGCAAGGAAGCTGCCCAGTCGGAAGGTGGTGGGGAGGTCCGTCATGGAGGACTCATTGTGGCACACCCAGACAGGCAGCAAAAGAAGTTCCAGCCTCCCCTTCTGGTAGCAATGGCTGCCACACACACTGCTTCCTGGTCAAAAAGGCCTCAGGAATGAGACAGAACTAAGCCTCGAAGCAGAAAGCCCTCAGTTCCAACATAGAAACAGGACTGTGGGAGGCAGGGACCGATGAGCAGAGTCAGTCTTAGTACTGACACCACCCAACAGCTAGCTAGGTGCTTAGCCACTGCATAAGTCTGCTCTGCCAACTGAGACACAGGCATATCTCCACAAATACCTATTTTCTGTGCCTGACACTAGGGTAATTAGAAATCTTATATGGGAGCTTTTCTATTCTTTTTTTTTTCTGAGACAGAGTTTCAGTCTGTCACTCATGCTGGAGTGTAGTGGCGTGATCCTGGCTCACGGCAACCTCTGCCTCCTGGGTTCTAGCGATTCTCCTGCTTCAGCCTCCCAAGTAGCTGGGACTACAGGCACGGGCCACCATGCCCAGCCAATTTTTGTATTTTCAGTAGAGACGGGGTTTTACCATGTTGGTCACACTCCTGATCTCAAACTCCTGACCTTGTGATCCGTCCACCTCGGCCTGCCAAAGCGCTGGGATTACAGGCGTGAGCCTCTGTGCGCAGTCTATATGGGAGTTTTTCAAGCACTTTTCCCACTTCAGTTTTTTTAGGCCATCCAAACCAGTTTATTTTAGGCTCCAAACAACCTCATTAATTGAAATTATTTTAGTCAACAGTTGAAGATGGCTATTATTTCCCTCTCAACACACCAACTTCCCACATTATGAATCCAGCTGCAGCAGCTGCAGGACAGTTAGAAACATATTACATACAAGTAAACTGCTGCTCAGTTATAAAGCTTCCTGTCACATATTGTCTGGTATCAGAAATGATTCTGTGCACGATCTAATATCTACGGGGGTGGAGGGGGAAGTCGTCAGTTAGCCAAAAGACTCCGATAGAAACCATTTATGTGAGGTCAGATTGACTGGCGTAGAGAGCTGTGCAGACGGTGGGGGAGAACTTCTCGTTGTTTGTGCTGTAATGCTACCTTTCATTGGCTTTCAAGGCTTCCAGAGCCGGCACCCGCAGGCTCCAACCACTCACTAGGGGAAAACAAGAGCTTACCTGCTGCTACTTCCCTGAAGTCTGATTCCGAATTGTCAACTGCTCCAGCCTCTAAACAGTACTACTTGAAACAATCAAGATATCTTCCAGGTAAGTAGAGCAAAGAAAATGTTTACTGCTAACTGGAATATAGATAGGTCAGGTTAAAGTGTCTTAGAATCTCTGAAGAAAGGGCAGCAGTGAAGTAAAAAGTCTAATCACTAAGGGCTGGGCGCGGTGGCTCACGCCTATAATTCCAGCACTTTGGGAGGCTGAGGTGGCTGGATCACCTGAGGTCAGGAGTTCAAGACCAGCCTGGCCAACATAGTGAAACCTCGTTTCTACTAAAAACACAAAAATTAGCTGGGCGTGGTGGCAGGTGCCTGTAATCCCAGCTACTTGGGAGGCTGAGGGAAGGAGAATTGCTTGAACTTGAGAGGCAGAGGTTGCAGTGAGCCGAGATTGTGACACCTCGGTGACAGAGCGAGACTCCATCTCAAAAAAAAAAAAAAAAAATTACAAATTTAGACTCAATTACAAATAATTGTTTGGAATGTAAACTTGAGCCTTACTGTCACCTATTGGCTTCATTGTTTTCAAGAGGATCCCTCTTAAGATTTAAAACAAGAGTTGGGCTCAGTTCAGTCACTTGAACGAACATTTATTGAGCACCTATTGTGAACCAGCAGCTATGCAGAGGATAGAAACCTGAATAAGAAGCAATCTTTGGCTGGGCGCAGTGGCTCACACCTGTAATCCCAACACTTTGGGAGGCCAAGCCTGGTGGATCACCTGAGGTCAGGAGTTCGAGACCAGCCTGGCCAATAGATGAAACCTCTTCTCTACTAAAAATACAAAAAATTAGCTGGGCGTGGTGGCAAACACCTATAATCCCAGCTACTTGGTAGGCTGAGGCAGGAGAATCACTTGAACCCAGAAGGCAGAGGTTGCATTGAGCAGAGATCGTGCCATTGCACTCCAGCCTGGACAACAAGCGAAACTCTGTCTCAAAAAATAAAAATAAAAGAAGCAATCCTTGACATTTATTTATGATCCAAGTTATTTTTGTAATTGAGTATCTTCAGGAATGAAAAATACTAATATATGAGCCAGGCGCGGTGGCTCACGCCTATAATCCCAGCACTTTGGGAGGCCAAGGCGGGTGGATCACCTGAGGCTAGGAGTTTGAGACCAAACTGGCCAACATGATGAAACCCCATCTTTACTAAAAATACAAAAATTAGGCCGGGCGAGGTGGCTCACGCCTATAATCCCAGGACTTTGGGAGGCCGAGGCGGGCGGATCACGAGGTCAAGAGATCGAGACCATCCTGGTCAACATGGTGAAACCCTGTCTCTACTAAAAATACAAAAATTAGCTGGGCATGGTGGCAAGTGCCTGTAGTCCCAGCTACTCGGGAGGCTGAGGCAGGAGAATTGCTTGAACCCAGGAGGCGGAGGTTGCAGTGAGCCGAGATCGCGCCATTGCACTCCAGCCTGGGTAACAAGAGCGAAACTCCGTCTCAAAAAAAAAAAACAAAAAACAAAAATTAGGTGGGTGTGGTGGCGCGAGCTACTTGGGAGTGTCAGGCAGGAGAATCACTTGAACCCTGAAGGCAGAGGTTGCAGTGAGCCAAGATCGCACCACAGCACTCCAGCCTGGGCGACAGAATGAGACTCCATCTCAAAAAAACAAAAGAACTAAAAAACTAATATCTTTGGGGGCCCTCTCTTTACCCTAAAACCATATAAAAGGTAAAACCATATAAAACCTTAAAAAAAAACCCTAAAACCGTATAAAAGGTCTTATAAAGCATCAACCTTTAGGATTACAGGAGCTCTAGAAATGCACCATATAATTGCAGGGCAGCCTGACATTATACTACAAGGATTGGCAGATCTGTGACACTGGCCTTCAAGGAAAGAGACGTAAGAGTCATAGTTATTGACCTGCTACTGACTGGCTGTGTACTTGAAGCAAGACTTTGAGATTCTGTTTTCTGTAACTTACAATGGGATTGTACCATCTATCAGCTCACTCTGTAAGCCTTAGGTACTTTAATTATCACAAGGTAGTTGCAAATAGAGTATGCAGTGGAAATGCTAATGATCTCTCAGTGGTGCCCTCTGGTCTTACTCCGTGCTTCTACGGCCAGGACTCTGAGCATGAATTGATGCCACCCACCACTGCTGGCCAGAAGAGCAGCTCACTCCATAGCACTTTTTTTTTCCAGACAGTCTCACTGTCGCCCAAGCTGGCTTGTACAGTGGCGCAACTTGGCTCACTGCAACCTCTACCTCCCAGGCATAAGAGTATCATACCTCTGCCTCCTGAGTAGCTGGGATTATAGGCGCCTGCCACCAGCCTGGCTAATTTTTTTTTTTTTTTTTTTGAGACAGAGTCTCACTCTGTCACCCAGCCTAGAGACAGTGGTGCCTTCTTGGCTCACTGCAACCTCTGCCTCCCAGGTTTAAGTGATTCTCCTGCCTCAGCCTCCCAAGTAGCTGGGGCTACAGGTGCATGCCACCATGCCCGGCTGACTTTTGTATTTTTAGTACAGATGAGGTTTTACCATGTTGACCAGGCTGGTCTTGAACTTCTGACCTCAAGCGGTCTGCCCACCTCAGCCTCCCAAAGTGCTGGGATTACAGGCGTGAGCCACTGCACCCAGCCTCCATAGCACTTTTGAAACTGATCTGTGGATCCTTCTCTCTTCCCATTCATTATTTACCATCTTTCCTTCCACCCTGTTTATTCAATGCCCGGTGTCATTTCTACATTAGCCTCCGCTACTGCATTTTCACTCTCTTAACACAGCATACAAAATTCTTTATGGCCTGTCCCTCCTCCACTCTCCAGGCTCATTTTATACTACCCTGTGTTCTTGCTGCATCCTTGCTGGCCATCTCTGAGTTCTTTCCTCTTAAACTCCTCAGCCCAAACTGTTGCCTCTCCAAGGATCACGCCTCCCCACCCCTTAAAACACATTTATGCCTAGTGTTCCATTATTGGAACCTTCAGCATGTGGGTTTATATCCTACTGCTCAAGGTCATCGCCAAGGTCTGATTGCAAAAATTCAAAAAAAATGCTGCCTCAGACATAAATGGGTTAATCACGATTCACATTTCAGCTTAAAATTGCCTATTTGAAAGAAAGACTGGCTGAGTTGCTTCTGTTATTTGCCCCCTCCACCCCAGATTCTTCTAAACATTATGAACACTGCTCATGATGTATTTACTTAGTTATAACTAAAAATGCCTCCCTTCTCATTAGATTATAAGTGCCAAAGAATAGAAACTGGTCTATTTTGTTTGCCACTTTTTCTCCAATGCCATACACACTGCCTGGCACTGGTGGGTGCTCAGTAAATATTTGCTAACTGACCTTTTTTATGCCCTTTGAGGCAAGAAATTACCATCATATAATGATATCTATCATTATAATATCAAATTATATTAATTTATGCTTCCTCCTAACAGTGTTTAGTGTGTAGGAGGTACCCAATGAAAACTTACAAACTGATAAATAACAAAATTCTAGGATATATCTATTTCCAACAAAATTGCAATCTTCATCTTAAATAGACCTTGAATTAAACTAGTTATCTTCAATACTTACCTTTTACTTTAAAATATTTACTTGAGTGACCGGGCGCAGGGGCTCATGCCTGTAATCCCAGCACTTTGGGAGGCAGAGTTGGGCAAATCACAAGGTCAAGAGATGGAGACCATCCTGGCCAAGATGGTGAAACCCCATCGCTACTAAAAAGTACAAAAATTAGCTGGGCATGGTGGTACACGCCTGTAGTCCCAGCTACTAGGGAGGCTGAGGCTGGAGAATTGCTTGAACCCAGAAGGCAGAGGTTGCAGTGAGCTGGGATTGCACCACTGCACTCAAGCCTGGTAACAGAGCAGGACTCTATCTCAAAAAAAATTTTTTTTTACTTAAAAAATAACCTATTTAGGAATATTGTCAAGGCCAATTGGATTAAAAACATCACTTAAATATTCAGAACTCATTCTTTGTTGAACTATAGTTCTGAGAACTGTGTTCACACAAATTTTTAATGTTTTATCCCCATCTTGCACTTCCTTTTTGGGTGAAGTTTTTTTTTATTTTTTGAGACAGAGTCTTGCTCTGTAGCCAAGGCTGGAATGCAGTGGCAGAATCTAGGCTCACTGCAACTTATATGTCCTGGGTTCAAGTGATTTCCATGCATTCAGCCTCCCAAGTAGCTGGAATTATAGGCAGGCACCACCACGCCCAGCTAATTTTTTTTTATTTATTTATTCTTTTAGTAGAAACAGGGTCTTGCCATGTTGGCCAGGCCGGTCTCGAACTCCTGACCTCAGGTGATACACCTGCCTCAGCCTCCCAAAGTGCTGGGATTACAGGTATGAGCCACCGTAACCAGCCTAAAGATGGTTGGTTTGTTTGTTTTGAGACGGAGTCTTGCTATGTTGCCCAGGCTGGAGTGCAGCGGCGTGATCTGGGCTCACCACAGCCTCCACCTCCCAGGTTCAAACAATTCTTCTGTCTCAGCCTCCTGAGTAGCCGGGACTACAGACATGTGCCACCATGCTTGGCTAATTTTTGTATTTTTAGTAGAGATGAGGTATCACTGTGTTGACCAGGGTGGTCTCAAACTCCTGACCTCATGATCTGCCTGCCTTGGCCTCCCAAAGTGTTGGGATTACAGGTGTGAGGCACCACACCTAGCCAGTAGTTGCCTATTATAGTTCGATTTGTAAGTGTTTTATTAGGGAAGTTATATCCTATAAGAAAGGGAAATTATTTGCCTGATGAAGTGTTTCCTTAGAGAACAGTGGGTAACTTTTGAAGCTCAGTATTTCTGGTTTCAAAATAAGGAATATTATTATATATCTCATAAACATGAAGCCTTTCTAAGGAATTCAGCTTGTGAAAAGCAAAAGCTCAATGCCTGGAGACAGTTCTCACTTCTTAAATCAATGGAGTCCTCAGTGATGATTTCTACACTAGATAAAGAAAATTCGCCGTGAATGACCTAAAGGCATAGACTGTACAAGTTCACTCTAATTTCATTATCAATAAAAAGAAAACAAGCTCAAGAAGTTTTCAAGTCTCTTAAGAATAGGTTGAAACAACTTCCTTTGACCGCCAGTACCACAGCCCAAGGCTGAATGGACATTTCACAGATTTCAGAACATCATAATTTAAACTGTCCCTTTTCCAAGTACATTTCTAATGCCTTCTTTCTGCTGTACAGGGAATAAACAGTTTCCATTTTACTGCATCTCGCATACAAATAAGCACTACAGACGGAGCTTCATACCTCTGAACCTCAGAGGTTTTCCCCGAGTTCTTAGTCACGTGTCTGTTTTCCCTGCTACGCCAAGGGTTAGGCCAAGAGTATATGCTCAAAACAAGTGACAAGAAAATGTCATTTGGGTCGGGTGTGGTGGCTCATGCCTGTAATCTCAGCACTTTCGGAGGCCGAGGCAAATGGCTCACTTGAGGCCAGGAGTTTGAGACCAGCCTGGCCAACATGGTGAAACCTCCTCTCTACTAAAAATATAAAAATTAGCCAGGCATGGTGGTGGGCACCTGTAATCCCAGCTACTCAGGAGGCTGAAGCAGGAGAATCGCTTGAACCCGGGAGGTGGAGGCCGCGGTAAGCCGAGATCACACCACTGCACTCAAGCCTGATGACAGAGAGAGAGAGAGACCCTGTTTCAAAAAAAAAAAAAAAAAAAAAAAGTCATGTTGTTGAAGAAAAGTTTTTGTGCCACCTCAGTTTTTACAAGAACTTACCAAGAACATCAAATGTTATTACAGTAGAAAACATTTCTGCTTATAAAGTACTGTCAGCATTCCAGGTGGCTGTGCCAAGGGCTTGGGATCACGTTAGTGTTCATCAGAAAGCAAGTGTCTGCTACATTTTCACCTACATTTATTTCCGTTCTCCTGTCCAAGGTATTTCTAGTCTTTGAATGTATTACATATGTTTCCTTCAAGCTTATGATCCACTCTGACCTTCGAAGTGGCTGCTTTGTTCTTCTCAGGTGTGAATCCCAAGAACGTGTCCTTGATAGCCAGTGGAAAGGAAATAAACCCCCACATGTGGAGCAATCAGTTATTTCCTAAGTCACTGGGACCCGTCAGGGCAGAACTTGCTTTCAAAAGGAACAATGCAGGTAACACAAGAATATAAAATGTACATATACATGGTTTTCCTTTACAGATGTCTACTTTTAAATATATTGCAGTACTCTTCCAACCAAGATACACATGGACCTGGGGGATATGCAAAGGTTTTCTGCTACTCTCTGCCTAGGCGTAGCCCTGCTCTGCTGGAGCAGTCATGGAGTTGTAACACTGCCTCTTCAATAGAGCTGTTTTCAGCGGGATGGGCATGGTGGCTCATGCCTGTAATCCCAGCACTTTGGGAGGCAGAGGCGGGCAGGTCCCTTGAGCCCAGGAGTTCAAGATCAGCCTGGCCAACATGGCAGAACCATGTCTCTATATATTAAAAAGTATAATAATAAAAAAAAGGTTTTCCCACTGTTACTTGAGTATAGATAATTTTAAGGGAATTCTCAACCTCCATCTGAGTCTTTGCTGAAATGGATCTGCCCTAGCAAAGAGTCTCTATTCTCCTCCTTTACAAAAGACAAGACGACTTTTCACTGGCCACCATGGTGTGTTTTCTTTTTCTCCAAAATGTAAAAATAACTGGGGTGCCAATGATATGGAAATTTTGCTATGTTGAGGTCACTGTTGAGAAAGTAACTTTGATTTGATGACTGAGGAACAGATCTTTTTTAAAGTCAGGGAGTCTTAACAGTTCTCAGCATTTAGAAAATTGAAGGAGGGCCTGAGTTGTTAGCTGACAGGTAATTTTTTTAAAAATGTTTGTTTTTTATGAGATCAGTATATGAATTTTCATCTATAACTTTGAAGAGTGTTTGAAGAATAGAGTGGTGAAGCTATCACAAAACCCCTTTCATCCCCAACTATTTCTATTAGCAAGATTTCTTCGTGCTTCTGTTTCGAAAAAGGAAGAAAAAAGAAGAGAGGAAATAGCCCTGATGCTGTGATTCTAGCAACAAATATTCATTTGTTGATACATGAACTACTTGAAAAAAGTTCCATCTTTCTCATTAAGAGATGCATTTCCAGAAAACTTTATGTTTAGTAATCAAAATATATAATATTCATCTTTTTTGATTAATTATATACAATTATTCATTGTAATTATAACCGTATTTTAATATCTTTATGGTTACAAGAAATTTTAAAAAATTTTAATTTGCATATATTTTAGAGTGACCAATTTTAAGACTTTTAAGATTACATTTGGATAAAATTTTGAAGCTGAGGTATAAATAAAAACATAATTTTAGGGGAAAAAGGAATTAATGTGAAATATCCAAGTGTCAAAAAGGAACTTGCTCATGTATTTTTATGTCACTATTGGAGGGCATAAAATCACTAATAGTTTTATTTTTAAAATGCCTATAGTTACAATATATCAGAAATAACATCCTTTGCAACTGTTAAACTTATGATTAAAAATTTCAAATATCAACTTAGAAGTGTGTGAAAAGGTAGTTTGTTTTTTAATGTAGGTGATATTGGATCAAAAAAGTTTGACAATTACCATTATAATGAGTGAGTAGTTTATGAGATATTCTGATGTGACATCAATACATTTGGACTTTTTACAAGTTTTCCAGATTCTTTAAAACTCAGCTTAAGCATTTAATGTTGCTGAGGTGTCATACACTTCACCACTGTAATTTACTTATTTTTTCCTCAGATATGTAAAAATAATATTCACTGAACCAACCAGTTATACAAATTCAATTAAATGACAGTAGAACAACTTTTGAGTCTCAAGGGAATATCCAGTTGGCATCAAATAAATGCCGTGACAGCACATGGGGACATTTTTGCATTTTCAAGGGTTCTTGCTGGGTCTTTTCATTAATCATCTAATCCATTTTTCTCTGCTTTTCCTAAAACATTCTCCTATTATTCTTTCTTTCCATCTGCCTTCCCTTTAGAAGACAGCATAATTAAACCAATTGAAAAACTATCATGCAATGAAACTTTTCCTGAAAAATTAGAGGACCCACAAGGTAATTTCTGAGCATCAGATGAATGCAATTTGTTCTTTGAATCCCTTGTCTAATTTTCTTCTCAACATTTGCCCCTGATCCTGACATAAAAGGCCAAAATGATCTGCTTTTAGAAGTCAAGTCTGGACTAGGATAAAGAAAAGCATCCTATCTCATCAAGAATATCTTTCTTCAGTAGTTGACATTCTAAGATAAATTTGCCTCAAAAAGCTCTATGCTGGTCTTCTTAAATTAATTATGGAATTTTATAGAAGAAATCAAGCAAATAATTCTAAGGAAAAGAATTAAAAGAATATTTTCTAATTTTGTGATCAATATTCCTAGAATTTTTTCTTAAAGTTCTGAAACTCATTTTTTACGCATGAACAATGACTTTTTTAAAAAAGTTAACTGGGGGCCGGATACAGTGGCTCATGCCTGTAATCCCAGCACTTTGGGAGTACGAGGCAAGCAGATCACGAGGTCAGGAGTTCGAGACCAGCCTGACCAACATGATGAAACCCTGTCTCTACTAAAATTACAAAAATTAGCTGGGAGTGGTGGTATGCGCCTGTAGTCCCAGCTACTTGGGAGGCTGAGGCAGAAGAGTCGCTTGAACCCAGGAGGCGGAGGTTGCAGTGGGCTGAGATCACGCCACTAAGTGCACTCCAGCCTGGGCAACAGAACAAGACTCTGTCTTTCAAAAAAAAAGAACGATAAGTCTTTCAGAATGAGTTTCTAAGATGGGAAAAAGTTTAAAGTAGGCAGCTGAACTTATGCAAAATTTAGTAGAGTTAAACAGGTATAGATTTAGAACATGCTTTCTGTATACAGTCCTTTAGGGGCTGATAACATAATATTGCACTTTGACAATCGTTGCTTCAAGAGCAGACATTTGTTGAGAGCCTGATGTGCCGTGGGAGACATCAGGAACACGGAGCCCAGTGTTGAGACATGTGAACAGATAACACTATGGAAAAAACACTGTTTACTGAACAGTGCTTTGAAACCATGAGGGTGATCAGAGCCCCGTTTCACCTTCTAGGGACAAGCCTGTCTCCTTCCCTGCGAGCTAGCTCCTTACCACCTGTCGCTTCCGGCTGGCTTCTCAACTGTCGTTTGTCTTCAGTCTGCTTCCTGCCAGTGCAGCAGCTCCCACTAGATCTTGACATCCCAGTGGCCAGATCCCATGGGCAGTGCTGGTCCCATCCAAGCTCTCTGCCTCACCTCCCATTCCTTTTTTTCACACTCAATGTGCATTCTCTTGGATTTCCATGCCCTGTTGCTCCTACCATCTACCTCTCTCCCTGTTCTCTCTCCTGTCCCTTAATACTGGTGTTCCTTGGGGGTCTGTCTACTCCAGGTCTCTGCACATTCGCAGCCCCTCTGAGCTGGCTTCTTCAAGCCCACAACTCTGGAAACACCACACCCTGATCATTACCAATCTCCATGCCTGCCTACTCACCCTTTGCCTGCCACAACTTCAGTGTCCTCCTGGTACCATGTCATTTCCACCAATTCTGATTCTCCTCTATGTTGCTGTTCTTGGACAATGCATCCAGTCACCTGAGCTACATACAAACTTAGGAGTTTACATTTCCCTCTTTCCTACCACTTCCACCCTGTAAACCTGCGCAGTTCCCTTCTTCATCCTCTGCCACTGTCGCGGTTCAGACCCTCATCCTCTCTCATTTCAGCTAAAGCAGTGACATCCTGACTGGTCTCCAGATTTTAGATTTTTCCTTGTCAGTGCATCCCTATGCTACCACCAGATTGAGCATTCACCAATAGTGGTGATGATGATGGCAACAATAATGATGACAATGATGCTGACATTTAATGAATACAGAGTCTATGTCACATGCTCTGAAGTCTCATCAATCCCTACAACAACCCTACGAGAACAGGTCCACTTACAGCTGGGCGTGGTGGCTCACGCCTGTAATGTCACCACTTTGGGAGGCCTAGGTGGGTGGATCACCTGAGGTCAGGAGTTCGAGACCAGCCTGACCAACATGGTGAAACCCCATCTCTACTAAAAATTTAAAAATTAGCTGGGTGTGGTGGCATATGCCTGTAATCCCAGCTACTTGGGAGGCTGAGAGAGGAAAATTGCTTGAACCTGGAGACAGAGGTTACAGTGAGCGGAATGGTGCCACTGCACTCCAGCATGGGCAACAGAGTGGGACTCCGCCTGAAAAAAAATAGGTCCACTTACAACCATTTTACAGAATGAAGACAGATAAGAGTACTTGAGAGATGGGGGCTTCACATTGAGAGATGGCAGGAAATATCCCCCCATGTTAAGAAATGGGGTTGTGAGAAAGCCTGGCATGTTCAGGGTGAACTGAATAATACCCTTGGGCCTTGAGTTCAGACTCCAGCTCAGTCTGTTACTAACTGTGAGATGTTAGGCAAGTTACTTAATATCGGAGAGCCACACAATAAGGATAATAATGTGATCTAAGAGGGTTGTTGTACGGATGGAATAAGAGTATCTGTAACAAGTACAGCATACTGCCTACAACATAGTAGATGCTCAAAAATAGTATTTAGAAGTGATGGGGGTAGTAGTCAATGTTATTCTACTGTGCCAAAAATATTCACCTTCTGACTATGAAACTTTATGATATGTTACTAGGAAATCTTGGAAGTTACGCTACTTATAATCAGTCAGGATATATTCCTTCCTTTCTCAAAAAAGAAGTGGGGTCAGCTGGCCAGAGGATCCACTTAGCACCTCTCAATGCAACAGCTTCAGGTAAGAACAACTTCAGACACAGTGTTTTAGATTTCTGAGCAGAGAGGAACATTTTCCTTGTTAAGTTCATGCAGTCACTTTTCCCAAGCGAAGACTTTTAGTCAGCCTCACCTCATTAGTGCATTGCTTTTTGTTTTTACCAAAATGTCCTATTTTTCTTCCAAAAATGTGGAGTTGAGGATCTAATAATTATAAGAGCTACTTGTAATTAAATGGGGAGTCTCTGCCAGGCATAGTGTAAAGGGCTTACTGGGATTATATCATTTAATCCTCATGATGATATAGCTAGATCTCTTCTTTACAAATAATGAAGTGTAGGTGAGGTAACTTATCTGAGGTCACACAGCTAGTGGAGCTGGAATGGAAACTCACTTAATCCACTTCCAAAGAGGGTGCTGTGCTGCACAGCGAGATGTGAGAAAATGCCTTTTCCAGAGCCTTCTGCCCAGGACCTGGCACAGAGGGAAAGCTTCATAGATGCTGACAGTCTGTGTATGAATAAGTTAACTTGAGGATTCCTTTTTTTTTTTTTTTTTTTTGAGATGGAGTCTTGCTGTGTTGCCCAGGATGGAGTGCAGTGGTGCAATCTCGGCTCACTGCAGCCTCCACCTCAAGCAGTTCTCTACCTCAGCCTCCCGAGTAGCTGGGATTACAGGTACACGCCACCATACCTGGCTACTTTTTGTAGTTTTAGTACAGATGAGGTTTCACCATGTTGGTCAGGCTGGTCTTAAACTCCTGATCTGGTGATCCACCCACCTCAGCCTCCCAAAGTGCTGGGATTACAGGCATGAGCCACTGTGCCCAGCCAGTAACATGAGGTTTCTCTATAGTTCCATCTTAGACCATAGAAATTAACGATGGGACTTTCACGCCCTGCCTTTTGCTTTGCAATAGAGTGTGATGGGGAAGGGTTCATCCCTCCACCCTCCAGCATTATGCCAAACTGAGGTAAGCTTGCTCCCCAGTGGCGTGACATGTGACATGCACATATGTGGGTACACACTTGAAATGGAGGGTGATGATTTTGTACTTAAGCCAATCAGATTTGACCATGAGTGGTCTCTGAATCATTTTAGTCTGAAATAGACATTCTTAGTGAAGCACCAAAAATAAACATTAAAACAAATCATTAGAACTTTGATAAGATGCCTAATTGTAGTTTATTTATTTTAACTCTCTTTTATAGAGAAAAAGCCTTGCTCTGTCACCCAGGCTGGAATGCAGTGGTGCAGTCATGGCTCACTGCAGCCTCGAACTCCTGGGCTCAAGTGATCCTCCTGCCTCGGCCTTCTGAGTAGATGGGACTACAGGCGCACATCACCACACCCAGCTAATTAAAAAAAATTTCTTTTTGGGCAACTTGCTATGTTGCCCAAGCTGATCTTGACTCCTGGGCTCAAGCAGCCCTCCCACCTTGGCCTCCTAGAACTCTGGGATTATAGGCATGAGCCCCTATGCCCGGCCTGTAGTTTAATTTAAAAGTTGACTCTGAAAGTATGCTCGCAGCCCATCCTAACAGGATCCTATATTAAAACACCTGATTAGAGTTGCCAGTCTTGGAGCTAAAAATGTTTAAAGCCTAGACTTCTTTAATTTTTTATATCTTACCGCAATAGAACTGCTTAAATAGTACTACAGTTACCTTATCTGTGAAAAGAATTGCTTTATTATCTCTCCGCTGAAACAAAATAAGTAAACATTTTATATACAGCAGAGATTTTTATAAAGCCTCAAATATTTTCAGGCAGCCTTATGAGTCATTCATTTATATGAAATATAAAATTTTACTTTACTCTTATTTATTTATTTTTTGAGATGGAGTTTTGCTCTTGTTGCCCAGGCTGGAGTGCAATGGCATGATCTCGGCTCACTGCAACCTCTGCCTCTGGGGTTCAAGTGATTCTCCTGCCTCAGCCTCCCGAGTAGCTGGGATTATAGGCATATGCCACCATGCCCAGCTAATTTTTTGTGTTTTTAGTAAAGATGGGGTTTCTCCATGTTGGTCATGCTGGTCTTGAACTCCTGACCTCAGGTGATCTGCCCACCTCGGCCTCCCAAACTGCTGGGATTACAGGCATGAGCCACCACGCCCAGTCAAGAGTAGGTCTTTTAAAAAATATTTTTGTAAGCTATTGAAGGCCTTTATATATTAATTATTCTATTCAATTAGCATGCATATTCCTGTTATTTCTTTTAAGTAAATGCTTTCTCTTAACTTTTCATTTCTTCATTTACTCTGCTTATCAGATTTTCCTATAGATGGTGATAGGAGGAAAGGTAAAAAACGAAGTAAATATTAATCACTCTCAAGTGGTCAATGCAAATCCTTAAAAAAACACTGTTCTGTAAGAGATGTGTCTTCCAGTCCTCCCAGTTGGGTGACAGTTTCCCACAAGGAAATAAAACCAGGTTATTACCATATTTACTCAACTATTTCCCGCTTCTCACATGGTCTTCTCTTTCACCTCTTCAAGGTTTTTTTTGTTTTGTTTTGTTTTTGAGACAGAGTCTCACTGTGGTCCAGGCTGCAGTGCAATGGCATGATCTCAGCTCAGTGCAACCTCCGACTCCCGGTTCAGGCGATTCTCCTGCCTCAGCCTCCCAAGTAGCTGGGACTATAGGTGTGTGCCACCGCACCTAGCTAATTTTTGTATTTTTTGTAGAGATGGGGTTTCACCATGTTGGCCAGGATGGTCTCAATCTCTTGACCTCGTGATCCACCAACCTCGGCCTCCCAAAGTGCTGGGATTATGCCTGGCCTCTCCCCTTCAGGTTTTGAGAAGGAAAATCAATGTCTTCCTCCCTCCCCATGTAATCTCTTTTTCCAAACTTCCCAATACTTCCTTATCCCCTGCTTTGAAACTAACAACAAGGACTTGGAGGAGTGACTTCTGTTACACACAGCACTCTTCAGGATCACCTTAGAAGCACGGGACCCCGTTTTAAGCACTCTGTGTCCAATAACTCATTAATCCTCCCAGGGCTCTCTTAGGAGCTACTATTGTCATCTGCATCTTACAGAAGTTCCATATCTTACTAAAAGTTACATCATAATGGCATCAAGTAAATCCATAACTAGAGGCAAACTTCTTTCCTTTAGCACAGATTTTCTACAAGAAATTAAATTCTGGCTGGGCGAGGCGGCTCACGCCTGTAATCCCAACACACTGGGAGGTGGAGGCGGGCAGATCACAAGGTCAGGAGTTTGAGACCAGCCTGACCAACATGGTGAAACCCCATCTCTACTAAAACTACAAAAATTAGCCAGGCATCGTGGTGCATGCCTGTAGTATCAGCTACTTGGGAGGCTGAGGCAGAAGAATCACTTGAACCTGGGAGGCAGAGGTTGCAGTAAGCCGAGATTGTGCCACTGCACTCCAGCCTGGGCAACAGAGCAAGACTCTGTCTCAAAAAAAAAAAAAAAAGAGTAGGGCCAGGCATGGTGGCTCACGCCTGTAATCCCAGCATTTTGGGAGGCCGAGGCAGGCGGATCGCTAGGAGATCAAAAGCATCCTGACTAACACAGTGAAACCCCATCTCTACTAAAAATACAAAAAATTAGCCAGACATGGTGACAGCTACTCAGGAGGCTGAGGCAGGAGAATCACTTGAACCTGGGAGGCAGAGGTTGCAGTGAGCCGAGATTGCACCGTCGCACTCCAGCCTGGGTGACAGAGTGAGACTCCATCTCAAAAAAAAAAAAAAAAAAAAAAAAAAAAAAAAAGTAGGATGAAAGGACCTGTCAAACCATGGAGTGGGGTGTTCTTGGCCTCCCTGCCTCCACCAAACTACACCACAGCCAGGCATCTGTTTCACTGAGGATGTCCACACTTAATACCTTGTTCACCCCAGGCTGAAGTTAGCAGCTAGTCAGGACCATGTGCTCACAGAATTCCCTCCTACCTCCCAGTTTTACAGTGAAAATCTAAGAAAAACTGTGCAAACCATGCCAGTAAATATGGTTTATCTAGGGCTGGAGTTACAAAATGGTCAGATTCATTTCAGTATTAACACTTAAGAGTTTAATCCAAGAATGGCAGCTACAACACAGTGTGAAAAGATATTTAAATTCCAAATGGAAAAAGCAAACATCCCTCCTCAGATACAATACCTGTGATACTTTAGCTGTCAATTCAAGGAGGGACTGAAGAAGGCATCAAAAGTTCTCTATAAAATGATCTGCTTTCTCCTTTGAAATGTTGAAGCAATTTTAGCTCATAAATTGTTCAGATAAATGTTTAAGAAACTTTAAATTTTTCACAAATTTTTAAATGGTCAAATGTATGAATGAAACAACCTTGTGATTAAAAGTTTGGGGTGCTACCATTTAAGGGATTTGTGTTCCCACCTGTGATTTTCCCAATAAAAAATGAAGTATCAGCCAGGCGCAGTGGCTCACCCCGGTAATCCGAGCACTTTGGGAGGCCGAGGTGGGCGGATCAAAGGTCAGGAGTTTAAAACCAGCCTGGCCAACATGGCAAAACCCCATTTCTACTAAAAATACAAAAACTAGCTGGGCATGGTAGTGGGTGCCTGTAATCTCAGCTACTCAGGAGGCTGAGGCAGGAGAACGACTTGAACCCAGGAGGCAGAGGTTACAGTGAGCCAAGATCACTCCATTGCACTCCAGCCTGGGCAACAAGTGAAATTCCATCTCAGAAAACAACAACAACAACAAAAATAGAAAAGAAGTATCTTTATTCTAAAAACTACATTTTTAAAAAGAAATCTATAGGACAACATGTGTGTTGCTCCATGAAGCCACGGTTTTATAGATTCACAATTTCAGATGCATTTTTCTGCAGTGATGCTGTGTAAATATTCTTTAGATGTAACCACAGTGTGGTGTTACAAAGTCACTAACATTGTGGGTGTTGCCCATTGAATTTGAGCCAAGAATTTTTCTTCTTCTTCTTGCCTGGCTTTGCCTATCTAAAAGTAAAATATTGAAAATAACAGTAGTGTCAGCACTACAAACCAGAAATATTGGCTCTTCAGCTATT